GCTACCGCTCTGATGGTGACCACAGACGATCCGGGACAGAATGGGAGAAAAATGTAGAACAACATCAAAATCATAAAATAGAAGACCAGACTTTCTGGTCTGACAGAGACTGGTAGAACCCCTGAGACCGTGGCCCTTAGGCACCCTTCAAACCTGGTACTGCATCCACCCCCGGGGATCACCCTTCAGCCAAACAAATAACACTCCTGAGGAATGTACTCCTCAGAACAATTAACCATAGGGATTGAATGGGCAGCACTGGCCACAAAACAAAGCTGGAAGGCAGGAAGGGCAGGAAAGAAGGACCAGTGGGAACAGGGAACCCAGGGAGGAAGAGGCAAGAGTGCTGTTATACTGAGGGAATTGCAGAACAAAATGTGTACAAATCATTGAACGGGGAAAAATTGCCCTGTAAACTTTCACCCAAACCACAATAAAAGCAAAAAACCAAAGACAATTCTATTTACAGGTAGGATTTTGGGGGACACAACTTGATCCATAGCATTCATTAACCCAGGTAGTTATGAAAACTCAGGAACAGGAAGTCAAGACTCAGGGACCAGGAGCTTTGTTCTCTGCACCTCCTTTTCTTCCTCTGTGGGATGGAATCAAAATATTCCCTCTCAGGGTTGTTGTGTGGACTGCTGGTGACCTGCTGGCACCTCATTACTCCCCCCACCACCACCAAGTGGCATCTCCTACAATGAGCTGTATTACCCAGCACACAATGGGTAACTGCCGTGTCTGGCCGGGAGCCCAGCTAAGCCAGCATCCGAGAGCCAAAGAATTTCTTTCATTATCCCCGTTGCTGGGAGAATGGGGCAGGGAGAGACGGACAAAGTCCCTAAGACAAAAGTGACTCTGATTACTGTGGGTTGTCTTCCGGGCACCATCAGGTCTGGAAACCTTTCTTCTCCGACCTACTTACTTCCCCAGAGGGCTCTAAATTGGCCTTTCCACCACCAGTGAGCAGAGAGAGAGAGCGGGGCAGAGCACCAAGGAAAACAAAGTGGCTGCTGCACGGTGGGCGCTGGGACTTTCAGAGCAATGCTGTCTTGCCGAGTTCGCCTGTGGTAAGAAACAAAAGTGGAGAAGAAAGATGAACTTGTTGACTTAACAACTATTTACTGAGCTCTGGTTCCTGGGTGGTATGACGGTTAAGTGCTCAGCTGGTTGGTCTTTCAAATCCACCTGGTGGAACACGGAAGAAAGACCTCGTGATCTGCCTCCATGGAGATTACAGCCAAGAAAACTCTCTGAAGCGTTCTACTGTGACACACATGGGGTTGTCACGAGTCAGAAGCAACCAGGTGGCGCCTAACAACAACACTGAGGACCTACTATGTGCCAGGTGAGCTGACCCCACAGACAAGGTCCTTGTGCTCATGGAACTCATGCACTCATGGCGGAGCCCAACAGTAGACAAATAAAGAAGAGCTAGATCGGCCGGTGGTGAGTATAGTGCAGAGAATTAAACTAGGGTGAGGGCTTATGGAGAGATTTGGGGGGTGGGCGCTGAGCAAGGGGATGGTCAGAGGGAGCTCTCAGGAGGTGGCAGTGAAGCTGAGATTTAATGATGTGAAGGAACACAAGATGGAGAGCAGCTCAGCACGTGCAAAGGTCCTGAGGCTGGGGTAAGCCAACACATGCAGTGGGAGGTCTCAACAGGAGGTGGGGACAGGGAGGCAATCTGGGCCCCTAGGAGACATTGGCAATGTCTGGAGGTAGTTTGCTTGTCACAGCTGGGGGAAGGGGTGCTAATAGCATCTAATGGGAGGGGACTCAAGGGTGCTACTAACACCTTACAATGCACAGACATGCCCCGTCTCGGCGAACAGTCTGGCCCTAAATGTCCACAGTGCCAAGACTAAGAAATCCCCTTCAGTGTGACAGGCCTTCTCACCTATCTATCTCCATTATCTCTATCTAACGTCTATCTATTCGGCCCCCAGGGGACACTTGGCAGTGTCTGGAGACATTTGTGGTTGTCATAACTTGAGGAGGGGGTGCTACTGGCATCGAGCGGGTGGGAACCAGGGATGCTGCTAACACTCTGCAGTGCACAGGATGACCCGCTCCCAGAGGACTGTCCGAGACATCAGCAGTGCCCGGGGCGGGCTTTGAATAACCAATGCCAGGTGCTGCGGAGCTGACTCCGACTCAGGGTGCCCTGGGTGTGTCAGAGCATCGCTGTGACCCACAGTGTGTTCAGGGCTGCTTTTTCAGAGGCAGATTGCCAGGCCTTTCTTCCAAGACACCCCTGGGGGGACTCGCACCTCCAGCCTTTGGGTTAGCAGCTGAGCACGTTCACCATTCGCATCAGCACATCGGGCTCCCTGAGACGTTGCGCCGCTCCTCTCACCCTAGCCTGGCCTGATGGTTCCTGTGCCCGTTTCACAGATGATGTGTCTGCTGCCCCAAGAGGGAGGCCACTTGCTTAAATCATCCAGGAAGGCAATGGAGGAGCCCCGACTCAGACCAGGCTCACGGGCACCAAGGTAAACATTCCTTCTGCCCGTCTCTGTGGTGGTTTTTTACTGTCGGGAGGTGGGTGGGCAGGGCTCACAACACAAGGACATTTTAAATAATGCCAAAGTGGGAGAAAGTCTTCCCCTTGTCAATATAGCATGCTCTCTTTTTCTTTTTGAGCTAAAGCATCATGTTTGTTGTAATATTTATGTCTTTCTCAAGCCTTCACTGATAGTTGTTGTTTGCCATTGAGTCAACTCTGATCCTTGGTGACCGTGTGCAGAGTAGAACTGCTCCACAGTGTTTTAAGGCTGGCACCTTCTGGAAGCAGACTGCCAGGCCTTTCTTTCCAAGTATCTCTGGGTGGGTTTAAATCACCACCTTTTCAGTTAGTAGTGGTGCAGTCGGGAGCTCTGGTGGCATAGTGCCTAAGGCACTTGACTGCTAACCAGAAGGCTGGAGGTTCAAACCCACTAGCCACTCCTTGGAAGGAAGGTTGGGCAATCTACTTCCATAGTGATACTACCTCGGAAACCCAAGGAGGGGTCGCTATGAGTCGGGTCCTACTCGATGGCACATAACAACAGCAACAGTAGTGCAGTCCAGGGGCTCCTTTAACGTGAATAAAACTGGGCTACTGCTTTTAGTAGTAGGAGCTTTGGTGGCATAGTGCCTAACGCATTTGAATGCTAACCAGAAGGCTGGCGGTTCAAGCCCACCAGCCACACCTCAGAAGGAAGGTTGGGCAATCTACTTCTGTAGTGATACCGCCTTGGAAACCCAAGGAGGGGTCGCTGTGAGTTGGATCTGAGGCACCTACTTTTTTAACATTAACTTCCCTATTGTGGTAAAACAGATATAAAACCTCCTGTTTAAAGCATTTTTCACTGTACATTTCAGTGACATTAGTTACATCCATCCTGTTGAGCAACCATCACACTATTCTCAAAACATTTTCATCACCCAACATCTGTGCCCATTGAGCACCGAGTCTACACTCCTCGGCATCCCATCTCCTGGTCCCTGTGCATTTGCTTATTCTGGGAGCTTCGTGGAAGTGGGATCCCACAATATGTGGTCTTGTGCATCTGGCTTCTTCCACTCCTGAAGCGTGTAGTGTTTTTGAGGTCCATCCACGTTGTAAGCCATGCATCAGAACTTCCATTTCTCTCGAGGGCTAACTACTATTCCACTGTGTGGATGGACCACATTGTGTTGATCCTGCCACCAAGCAATGGACACTAGGGTTGTTTGCACCTTTTGGCTCTTGTGAATAATGCTCCACTCAACGTCTATGCACACGTATCGGTTTGAGTCCCCGCTTTCCATCCTTTTGGAGATACATCTAGGACTGGGGTGGCTGGGTCATGTTGTAGTTCTAGTGGTCCATGAGTGGAGCCAACAGGTCACGCTCTCAGCTGCTAACCTAGAGACTGAGGGGAGCGTTCACCCAGAGGTGCCTCAGAAGAGAGGCCTGGCAAGCTCCTTCTGGAAGTGCAGCCATGCAAACCCTGTGGAGCACAGCTCTGCTCTGATGCAGAGGTGCCGTGAGTCAGAATGGACTCACAGCAACCGGCTTTGGGATGGGAACTCTATGCTCAGCCTATGTTTGCAATTATTGCAAACGGCACAGGTGTTTGGTACAGACAGGTGTTTAGCTGTCTCTCAGAGACTTGCTAATCTCCCTTCTTATCAAAGTGTCCCACCTCCTGCAGGCAGGCATATCTATCTGGCTTGCTGATTGAAAGCGGGGTTTCTCAGCTTTGGTCCCATGACGTTTGGTTCTGGATCCTCCCCGGTGGGGGAGCCTTTCTGTGCACTGCAGGGTGTGGAGCAGCTGCCCTAGCCTCCACCCACACGATGCCAGCAGCACCCCTCCCCCAATCATGACAACTAAAAATGTCTCTGAACAATGCCAAACGTCCCTGCAGGCAGGATGGTCCCAGGTGAGAATTGCTGGTTTAAACAGTCCTCAGGTACCTAGACTTGGAAGAAGTGTGCTTCTTTGGAGCGAGAGGTGAGTGCAAGACAGGGTGGGGGCTTCACTGGGTCCTTATCCTTCTTACCTGCTCTGCTGGGGCTGGACTTGGCTCCCAGCACCCCACAGCCTCCCCTCTGCACACCTGGGCCCAGCTCGACTTACTCGGAGGCCCCAGGGGACCCAGGTGTTGGAGAGGTTGGCTGGTCCCTGGGTCCCAACGCCCAGCACCAGGAAACCACAGTTGCTGTGGCGACCGCTGAGCTCCGAGGTTGAGGAGATGCTTGGTTGAGGGGGAGAATGCTCCAGATCCTGTGGAAGCCGCATCCAGGGCCTCGATGTGGAGGCCACTGCCCACTGTCGCCTCATTAGCACTTGCAGACTGAGGCAAGCTGTGTGCAGCAGGAGGCCTGGAATGACAAGAGCTGTGGGTCACCACGAGGGTCCCAGAAAGTAACATAGGACCCTCACTCTAGATGGCCCTGCCCAGCTGGCCTTCCAGGAGTGCGTGAGGTCTCTGAGGTGGGGAAAGATCCTCCAAGTGGGTGGCACCATGAGCGTGGGCCCTCTCAGCCCGGGCACCCGCCGGCGACTCCTCCAGGGCCAGCCAGGCCGCCTCCCAGCACCACTGTCCAGCGGCGTGGCCATCTTCATCAGCTCCACAGTCTCGGGTAAGGTGGGCGCAGGGCTGGGGTCTTGGAGCCAAGCAGACTCTCTCGGGGTGCCAGGGCCATGAGCAGGGCCCAGGGGGGCTCTGGGAGACTGGACATGAACACAGTTCAGCCAGTGACCCACTTGGGGTACGGTGTGGTGGGACCCTCTGGCACCTCCGTTTTCTCCCAGATAAGCCAGGCTGAGTCCAAACCCGATGGAGGTGCTGGTGGTGCTAAATGACAATTACAACTAATATTATGATGAACGCATGTCACAGACATCAAATGCACCCCCCCAACTTCATCTTCTACAATCCTCCCCTTACCCACTCTCTGGGACCACACCAGCCTATGGCAGGTCCTGAAACCCATGAAGCCCCAGACCTCATTCAGGACTCTTGACCACAGAGTTTTCTCTCCTTCCTCTTTCCACTCTCTGGGGCCTCTGCTTAAACAGCCCCACTCTACCCCCCAATACAAAGAAGTCTCTGTTATCCTCCAGCATAGCCTACATATGTTTCTTTTTCTTCACAAAAAATCTTTTTTTTTTAATTAAAAATATATGTAGCAAAATGTGCCAAATCAACATTTTTTATGCCCAATTCAGTGACATTAATTACGTTCATCAAGTTGTACGACCATCACACTCTCCATTTCCTGAGTATTCTACCACCATGAACAGGAGCTTGCTCCCTAAGTTAAAACTCCCCCCTCACCTTCCCTCTTACTCTGGTGACCATTAATAAGGTTTAGTGTCTATATGTTTGCTTATTTCATATAAATGGGATCATACAGTATTTGTCTTTCTGTGTCTGGCTTCTTTCACTCAGCATGATGTTTTCAAGATTCATTCATGCTGCCTTAAGGATGGCAATTCCTTACAAAGTTGGAAGTAGAAATACCATTTGATCCAGCAATCCCATTACTAGGTATATATCCTAGGGAAGTGAGAGCCAGGGCAAGAACAGACATATGCACACCCATGTTCATTGCAGCACTATTCACAATAGCAAAGAGATGGAAAAAACCTATGTGCCCATCAACAGAAGAGTGGATAACCAAACTCTGGTACATTCACACGATGGAATACTGTGCAACACTAAAGAATAATGTACTGTCTGCAAAACACCGCATAATGTGGATGAAGTTGAGGACATTATGCTGAGTGAAATAAGTCAATCACAGAAGGACAAATATAGTATTAGTTCATTATTGTAAAAAAAAGTCAAGGAAAGGTTTATATAGGGAAGGAAATTTTCTTTGTTGGTTACCAGGAGTGGGAGGGGAGAGAAGGGAACACTGCAAATAAATAAATAAATAAATAAATAAAATAAGCACCGATCCATGTCACTTTAGTTTTGTGTACTTCACTGTACATAAATTATATTTCAACTATATATATATATATATATATATATATATATATATATATTTTAAAGATTCATTCATGTTGCTTCATTTCTTTTTATGGCTGAGTAATATTACATTGTTTGAATGCAGCATTTTGTTTATCCATTCATCTGCTGATGGATGCGTGGGTTGTTTCCAACTTCTGGCTTTTGTGAATAGTGGGGCTCTGAACATGGTGTACAAGGAGCTCTGGTGGTGCAGTGCCTAAGGCATTTGACTGCTAACCAGAAGGTCGGTGGTTCAAACCCACCAGCCACTCTGAGGAAGGAAGACTTGCAATCTACTTCTGTAAAGATTTACCACCTTTGAAACCCAATGGGGGTCACTATGAGTCAGAATCAACTCAATGACAGGGAGGTTTTTTGTTTTTTTTTTTTTAAACATGGTGTATAAGCTTCATACCCAAGCGTCTTTAACAACACTTTCCGTAAGCCATAATTACCTGAAGTGTTTGTGTACCTATTTAATGCCTGGCTCTGCCAACCAACATGTAAATTCCTTGAGGGAAAAGCCTACATAGAATGGTATGCTGGCAAATATTTAATAATCACCACTCCAAAAATATAGGAGAAGCCCTACAACACTTGATTTGTACCATCTGCCAATTTCTGTGGTGTAAATATTCCCACTTGTTCAGTTTCAAGCTGACAATGTTACCTTGCTGAGCCTAGAGTTGGACACAGTGTCAACGCTCTCTCTCCATATATGTACGTATATATACATATGTGTGCGTGTGTGTGTATGTATACCCAGTGCCATTGAGTTGGTTCAACTCATAGCAGCCCCTCCTTGGGTTTCTGAGGCAGTATATCTTCTACAGAAGTAGATTGCCCAATATTCCTTCCGAGGAGTGGATGGTGGGTTTGAACTGCCAGCCTTCTGGATATATAATGTTTTGATCGTACAGAATCAAGAGTTGTGAATAATTTGTCAAATGTAGTAAGATAATTTGGAAGTGGTGAGCTGGGAATACTTGTAGCCTCCGTGTCTTAGTTCTCTGGTGCTGCTACAACAGAAACACCACAAGTGGGTGACTTTAATGAACAGAAATTTATTTTCTCACAGTCCAGGAGGCTAGAAGTCCAATTCCAGGCAACGGCTCTGGGGGAGGGCTCTGTCTCTGCTCTAGAGGAAGATCTGTCTCTCAGCTTCTGCAGCCCTGGCGTTCCTCGGGGTCTTGGCAACCCTCCGATATGTTTTTGTCTTCCCCAGTTTGTGTCTGTGCTGCTCCTTATAAGTCACAAGTGATTAGGTTTAGGATCCACTGTATACTGATAGGGTCCATTTACATAACAAAGAAAACCCTAGTCCCAAATGGGATCACATCCATAGATGTCATAATTGTGAGAATTCCAACACATATTTTTTTGGGGGGCACAATTCAATCTATCACACTCTGCTTTATAAGTGTATGTAATATTAATTTTAATAATACCTGTGTTTGCCATTGGCTCACAAAATTCCTAGAAATTTGGCAATCAAATTTGATCGAGCCAAGATGAGGCAGCACTAAAATGCAACGCCATTGACATATGTCCTATTTGCTGTTGGGTCCCCATTGCTTAGCAAGGATCTGGGGTGACTGCCTGATGAATATTTACAGGAAAATGTAAACAGCCTGTGATGTTCATGAGGCAGGTATGATCGCAGCACATTCCAAAGGAGAAAAATGAGGCTTGGGGAAGAGGAAGAGGAGGAGACAGAGCCAAGACAGGTGTCCAGGCCAACACCTGTGCCAGGGAGGGCAACACTTCTGCACTGGTGGCTTTGGGGCGCTCTGACACTTTCTGCCATGGACATTAAAGTGACCTCCCGCTGGCTACGTGCAGGATACAGAAGCTTTTCCAACACTTGCACTGCACCATGTGCTTTAACTGGCAATAGTCAATGATTTGGAGTCCCCAAGTGGTGCAAAGGGTTAGGCATTTGACTGCTGGCTGAAAGGTCGGAGGTTCAAACCCTCCCAGAGGTACCTTGGAAGAAAAGGCTGATGATCTGCTCCTGAAAAGTCACAGCATTGAAAACCCTATGGAGGGAAGTTCTATTCTGCACACATGGCAAAACCAACTCATCAGCAACTAGAAATGACCAATAACACTCAGTGATTCAGCCAACATTCACGGAGAGCCTGGGTCCTACAAATCCAGCAGTGACCCGGACAAGCCGAGGGCCTTGACTTCAGGGTGCTTACAGTTCCTGCAAAGTTGAGGCATAGCCCTTGTTTGGCAGAGGGGGAAACTGAGACACCTGCCACACAGTGAAGTCAGAGGTAGAGAAGGTCTTGGAATTCAGGTTTACCTTGGGGAGGGCTGTCAGATTTAGCCAAAATATGAACAATGAAAGCCAAACAAAAACAAAAACCTTCCACAAAACCAGGGTGCCCACTTAATTTTGCATTTCAATTAAATAATGAGTAATTAGAGTTTTCAAGGCTGTAATTTTTATAGAAACCTACTGCCACATCTTTCTTCTGAGGAATGGCTGGTGAGTTCGAATTACAACCAAACCAAACTCATTGCCGTTGAGCCAGATCTGACTCATAGCGACCCCTCCTTGGGTTTCTGAGGTGGTATCACCACGGAAGTAGATTGCCCCATTTTCCTTCCGAGGAGTGTCTGGTGGGTTTGAACCACCAGTCTTCTGGTTAGCAGCCAAATGCCTTAGGCACTATACCACCAGAGCTCCTAAGTATGTTCCAAATATTGCCCAGGTTGGGACATACTAGTGCTACAAATTATTAATGTTTATCTGAGATGCAAACTTATCCAACTATTGCATGGATTGGGACATAGTAATACTAAACATTTATCTGAAATGTAAATATAAGAGAAAGACATCTTGCCTGGTAAAATAGAAGGTCAGAGAAAAAGAAGAAGACCCTCACGGAGATGGATGGACACAGTGGCTGCAACAGTGGGCTCAAGCACAGCAAGGGTTGTGAGGATGGCGCAGGACCAGGCAGGGTTTCACTCCGCTGTACACAGGGTTGCTGTGAGTCAGAACTGACTCAAGGGCACCAAACAAGCTGGAAACTTACCCAAGTACTGCAGAGAAAGGGACACATTTACGTTTAAAAGATAGTTGTTTCTCTGAAATGCATGTTTACCTGGGTCTATCTGAAATACAAACTTACCTAAAAACTGTGTGCATTGGGACACATTTATGCTAAAAAATATGACTTGAGATGTAAATATAACTTAGGTTAGCTGAAATGCAAACTTATCTAAATTTATTACACAGACTATGAGATACCTGTGCTGCTAAAAGTTATTTGTTTTTATCTGAAATGTAAGTGTATCAAAATATAACATGGGCTGGAATATATTTATACTAAAAAATTATTGTTTATCTGAATGTAAATGTAACTGAGCACCGAGTATTTATCTGGCAGCCCTAGCCTAGTATAGCCCACCACTCAGGTCTGCCCAGGACTAACGAGTTTCCTGGGATGCAGGATTTTCAGGCTAACATTGGGAAAGTCTCAGGCAAACCAGGACAGTTGGTGTCCCCCAACTCTTCGTGTCTTTGGATTCACTGTCAAGACCCCAGACTTGGTGAAGGTGAAGGAGGCTAAAAACAGAGCCACCAGCAGGGGACGAGTTCTGTATTCTTCAGCCTAACAGCTTGGGTGACGTTCCTTGCAGATATGGACGCGGAGAGGGAAGCTCTGCAAAACTCCGCCTACCCCGAAGTACAAACCTTCTGTCGGAAGCACGGCCTGACATTTGAGGTAAGCATCTGCGTATTCCTGCCTGCTTCAGTTTCCCCTGCCTTAAAATGCAAGCAAGGAGCCCTAGTAGCATAATAATTAAATGCTCAGCTGTTAATGGAAAGGTTGGTGGTTCGAACCTACCCAGTGACTCTGCAGAAAGGCCTGGCAATCTGCTTTTACAAAGATTACAACCAAGAAAACCATAGGAAGCCATTCAATTCTGCCACATGGGTCACCATGAGTCAAAATCTACTTGCCACCACCCAACAAAAAAATAGCAACAAAATGCAAGTAGGTGATAGGCAGGGCCAGCCTCATGGGTATGTACGCCCCATGTCCAGTTTAATGCTCTACTCTCTCTGTCTTGAAATTTGTAATGATTTTTGAACAAGGGCCTGCACTTTCTGTTTGTTCTTGCAGTTGTTGTTGTTGTTAGTGGCCATCAAGTCGGCCCCCGACTCATGGCGATGCCACATTCAATGGAACAAAAAGCTACCCAGTGCTGCACCATTCCCATAATTGATTGTGATAGGACCATTAGGATCCATAGAGTTTTTATTGGCTGATTTTTTAGAAGTTGACTGCCAGGCCTTTCCTCCTAGTCTATCTTAGTCTGGAAGCTCTGTGAAACCTTTTCAGCATCCTGGCAACATGCAAGCCTCCAGTGACAGAAGGGTGGTGGCTGGGCATGGGGTGCACCGGCTGGGAATCAAACCCGGGGTCTCCTGCATGGGAGACGAGAATTTTACCGCTGAGCCACCACTGCCCTCCTTAGTTCCCAGGGGCGGATTACCCAGGAAGCAAGGTAAGCACAAGCTTACTTGTGCTTATTTACTAATCTGTAGTGAACGCTTCCACATAGGTTTTACCACATCTTTGATGCTAGCTACTAGTATCACAGCAGCACGAAAGCCATAGCAGTCCACACACTGCTGATGGGTGGTGGCCCTGATCAGGAGACATAACTCAGTTGCAGAAGCCCTAAAAAGGAACGAGTTCCCTGGATGGCGCAAATAATGGTTAAGTCCTCGGCTACTAACCAAAAGGTTGGTGGTTTGAACCTACCCAGAAGCACTCTGCTTCCATAAAGAGCACAGCCGAGTAAACCTTATGGGGCCCGGTTCTACTCTGACACACATGGACTCTCCATGAGTCAAGGTCAACTCAATAGCAACTGTTGTTGTTATGTGCCATCGAGTGGGACCCAACTCATAGCGACCCCTCCTTGGGTTTCTGAGGCAGTATCTCTATGGAAGTAGATTTCCCCATCTTCCTTCCGTGGAGTGGGTGGTTTTTTTTTTAAAGGGGAAGTATACACCATGGAAACTAATAAAATGTTGCCACATTCTCTCTTTCACATCCACTTGGTGCTAGAGGCAGCGATATTATAAACTTCATTACTGTGTGGAAGGGTCAGAAGCCTGTTGCCTAAGGCTGGGCTCTGGCCCTTCTTCCTTCTCTGAAGTCACAACTGGTTGTCCTTCCCTTTTCTTCCTCCAGACACATTCAGTACTATCACCCTTTTGTCCTGTATGTGGTTTAGGAATGTATGTATCTTTTTCTCTGGGCTGAAGAATTTAGGGAGGCAGGGGCCGTTCTGAGTCCTCTTTGTCTCCCCTTCACCTCAACCTTCCACGGGGTCAGCTTAGCTTCCTTGAATCAGGCCATTCTGCTGAGTCCTCTCTCCAGCCAGCAGGCAGAAATGGACTTCAAGTGTGCGGTTGCCAAAGAAACGTTCTCAGTCCACTCTCAGCCAAACGAAACACTCCCCTTTGCAAAGACAGCTCTGGGAACAAGTGTGGACATGTCCTCACATTAAAAGGAATAGTTTGAAAACAGTCAAGTTCCTTTAAAAAAAAAAAAGTTCAGAATTTTGTTTTTAGATAAACTTTTTATTTGGGAATCATTTTAGATTTACAGAAAAGTTGTACAAATAGTATAGAGAGTTCCATATACTGACCCCCAGCTTCCTTTAACGTGAACATCTGAGATGACCTGAGCACACTACCTTGGTCACAACTAAGAAACTAACACTGGTACGTTACTATTTGGGGTCCCTGGGTGGCATAAATGGTTAAATGCTCATCTATCACTGAAAGGTTGATGGTTCGGGCCCACCCAGAGGCACTGTGGAAGAAAGGCTTGGCAACCTGCTTCCAAAAGATCATAGCCATGAAAATCCTGTGGGGTACAACTGTACTCTGCACACAAGGGGCTTCCAGGACTTGGAGTCAACTGAAAACAACACCAACAACATTATGACTACTTAGCAAAAAAAATTTGGGGGTATAAAATGGTAGTAAAAGGCACTCTGGTAGTGTAGTGGATAAGGGACTTGACTCCTAACTGGAAGGTCAGCGGTTCAAACCCACCAGTTGCTCTGCAGAAGTAGACTGGGTGATCTTGTTCAGTAAAGATTTACAGCCTCGGAAACTCAATGGGGGTCACTATGAGCTGGAAATGACTCAATGGCAGTGAGTTTGGTTTTTTTGGTAGCAATGGTGGTAAGGGTGGGGTCAGAACTTATCTATCTAACCTCAGGGGAGGGTAATGTGAATCAAGAGCAGCCCAAGGTTGATCCCTATGAGGTAGAAGTCAGACATACCTCCATTATCCAACTTTTTCACCAATTCCTACTGCAGCCATCCCACCAGCAGCACACTCTACTTCCCTGCTGGGTTTAATAATCCATTGCAATGGCCACACAGAACTCACAGACCATACTTACAGTTAAGTCGTTTATTAAGGAAGCAACAGGGTACGATTTTGGATTAGGAAGATGAAGGGAAAGTCTGGGAGGCTCCCCTGAAGAGGGGAGCATATCCCTCCCCTCTTCAATGCAGGACAGCTTTCTCAGCTCCTCCCGGCTGTGTGAGCAAGCAGGCCCTCTCTGCCACACAGGCCCCCTCATGGCCTCTTGGCTCTCTCAGGAGGTGGCTCCTCTCGACCCCCTCAGGACAGGCTTCTCTTGGCCCTGCCCTCTGTCACTCCTGACTCGGCCACAGGGCCCCTTCTGGGTCTGTTGCTGTCTTCGGTGTTAGAGCCCTTGACGTATGTCACAGCTCTTTTAGGAGGTTCCTGGCCTCCTCACTCTCTGCTGCTTCTCTCTTCTTTCTTCCTTCGGGTTCTGTCTGCTTCCTGTCTGCAAAAGCTCTGTGGAGGTTGGCTGCCTATGTACACAAACTCCTCATCAATTTCAAGGCATGGCGTCCACCAGGGCAATGAACTGACCAGTCCCCTCATGGTAGGCCACAGACACTTCATTTCTACAGTAGGCTATAGTAACTTCATTTGCAGAGCCCATAGTCACTTCATTTGCGTAGTCCCTTGACAGGTGCCTACCAATCACAGGGTGGTCCAGGGCCAGACAAAAAGTATCAATCTACAAGTTGTTTACAAGTTACTCAAGAAATGTCAGTCAACCTGGACCAAAGTAACAAAGCATCTGGGGTCGAGTTCTAGAGCAAAATAGGTCCTCAGAACCTAGGTCTCTCAAGCTGTTTTTCCAAAAGGTGATGTAAAGGAACTCATTTCGCCACAGCAGGGTATGTTATTATTAACTAAACTCTAAACGTTATTATGCCTATTTCACCAGTTTTTCCATGCATGTCCTCTTTCTGGTCCAGGACCCCACCCAGGACATCCTGTAGTATTTAGTCAACCCATCTCCCTGGTTCCCTCTCATCTGCTGATGGTCCTTTAGTCTTTCCTGTGGGTCACAACCTTGGCTGTCATGAAGAAGAGCGGCCAGGGGTCCTGCAGGATGACCACCAGTCTATGTTCACTTAATGTTTTTTTTCATGATTACACTGGGGTTATAGGGTTTGGTCAAGTTCTTTCAATCTAGACATCCCTCTTTTAGGAGAGATTGTCAAAAGGTGTTGAAACAAACATTATGCTTTAGTCAAAGAGCATTGAAAACGACCACCTGTAATTCCACCTCCCTGATAAAACCACGACTTGTAATCCCCAGATTGTTGATCTGAGGTGGGGTATTCAAAACACGGAGGCCACTGACCAGATCACCACGGAACTCTGCTTGGAGGAGATCGACCGATGTCGGAAAGCATCGATTGGGCCAGCTTTTGTGGTGAGTTTCACCGGAGGGGTAGATTAGCTCTGAAGAAAGGACGTGGGGGTGGCATCTTCTGACCTCCTTTAACTTCATGAGGGAGAGACAGAATCGCCATCAGCAGCCCAAGGCTTACTCCTGTGAGTCCACACATGCCTCCATCCTCCAGCCTTTTTTTCTTTTTTTATGTTTTATTTCTATTTATTTATTTATTCATTCATTCATTTTATTGTGATTTGGGTGAAGATTTACAGAGCAAATTTACTTTCCATACAGCAGTTCACATATACTTTGTCTCATGTCATTGACCAAAATTTACAGTGCAGCAGCTCCCCTCCCACTTCCTCCCCATAGTTACCTCTTCCCTGTGTCCATCCCTCCATGAACTCCTGCCCCCTGAGCTGTCTCCCTGTGCATAAGCAGCCCTTCTTTCTCCCATGATTGTTCTCTCCAAGGAGAGTATCTACTTGAGGTAAATGTTCAACTCACATGCCTATCTTTGGTTTGGCTGGAAACCACAGGTGTGAGTTTAATTCCAAACCTGAAGGGCAGCTAGGGGCCATACTCTCAGTGGTTCCACCAGGCTCTATCAGACCAGCAAACCTGGTCCACCCCCTTTTTTTTCTCCAAATGATTTTGAGTTCTGTTCCACATTGTTCTCCCTCTCTATCAAGGATCTCCTACACAGATCCTCTTCCAAGTGGATGACAGTGGTAGCCAGGCACTATCTAGTTCTTCTGGTCCTCCAGCCTTTTTACCAATTCTGACAGCAACTGTCTCTCTTACAGCACTCACTTGTTCTCTGCTGGATAAGTCATCGGAATGGCCACACAGAACTCACAGACAATACTCATGGTTAGGGAGGTAACAGGCTACAACTCAGGTTCAGGAATGCCCTCAGGATACAATTCTTCAGTCAGGACAGTCTCCCCTCAGCCATGCCATCAGGCATGCCTCTCTGGTCCTTGGCCTTGGGGCCTGGCTCTGCCCTGTTCTGGCAAGTGTTACAAAGCTCTTTTAGCTCTGTCAACAGGTGGACCCCACTCTGCCACCAAACCTTCTACCCAAAGGCACTCAGCTTTGTTGCTCTGTGGGCTGGCAAGCCTGCTGCTCCAGCTTGTGCCTCTTGGTTCCACTGCTGCTGTCTCTTAACGAGGTGGTTTGTCAAGGAGGTTCACCCCAGGGATCCTGGGTCCAAGGGTGTGTTCCACTCCACCTCTGGCTCTTCTCTATTGATGGCAGTGAGATCCCCTTTTCTGTCTCTAGGAAGATACAGTTTAAGCCTAGCAGAATGACAAAACTAACCAATCCCCACATTAGAGTTCCATTCACATTATTTGCATGGTCCACAAGGATGCCATGTACCTTATTTACATTACTCACAAGCTATCCAATCCCTTTGGTAGGTCTCAAGCACCTTACATTTGCATAGTTCCACGCAGTAATCTGGTGGAGTCATGAAGTCTGGCTAGAAAAGCCATACCAAATAATTCACTGCACCACAAGCTCTTATTTCTCGTTTCCATCACCAGTGGACCACTGGAGGGAAGTGGATGGCATTTTTGCTATTATACCCTTCCCTTGTAGCTTGACCCTGGCAGACATCACTAATTGATCACAGCACTCATTTCCTGCACAGCTAGCTGGGGTCTAGTCATTAGCAATCTATTAGAAGCAGAACATAAGCTGGAGAGTAGAATGTTGAAGCTGGAAGGGATCTTAGACCATCTCCTAGTTCCTCTACCCATTCACTTTGGGATCCTAGAAAGCCAGAGAGGAAGTGAAAGCCCACAGAGTCTTGGAAGTTTTTCTTCCATGTGCCCACGGTGTCACTAGCAGGCTTTGGGCCCTGTATGAAAATTGCTTCGGGGACATACTTCTACCCATCCTGTTGCTGTTGTCGGGTGCTGTGAAGTTGTTTCCAACTCATCGCAACTCATGTGATAGAGTAGAACTGTCTCATAGGGTTCTCTTGCCTGTGATCTTTGCTGAAGCATATTGTCAGATCTTTTTTTCATGGAGCTGCTGGGTGTGTTTGAACTGCCAGACTTTCAGTTAGCAGCCAAGTGCTCAACAACTTGTACCACCAGGGCTCCTTTCCTCCCATCCTAAACCAAAACTGAACTCACTGCCATTGAGTCAATTTGATTCATAGAGACCCCTCCCTGGGTTTCTGAGGCAGTATCTCTACGGAAGTAGATTGCCCAATCTTCCTACTGAGGAGTGGCTGGTGGGTTTGAACTGCCAGCCTTCTGGTTAGCAGTCAAATGCCTTAGGCACTGTGCCACCAGAGCCCCCATCCTAGGCAGGGGCAATTTTTTTTTTTACATTACAGAGTCTACTCTCTTCCTCTCCTAACTCTACCCTCTTTGTCCCCAAAGCAACCCATACCCCACAACTATTTGTCTATTATCATTGAGTGATATTTCAGATTCTTGATTTATTACACCACTAAATTCCAAAGACATCCAAGAACTATGGTATTTTGACTTATGAATCCTAGAGCAGGGGTCAGCAAACTACAGCTCCTGGGGCAAATCCATCCCCAACTTATTTTTGAATAAAGCTTTATTGGCACATGGCACGTCCATCCATGCACTATCATCTGTGGCTGCTTTCAAGCTACCACAGCAGAGCTGAGTAGTTGGGACAGAAATGGTCTGGCCCACAAGGCTGAAATATTTACTATCTGGACCTTGACTGAAAGTTTGATGACCTCTGTCCTAGAGTATGTTGTTGTTGCTATTCTTGTGTGCCATGGGGCCGATTTCGACTCATAGTGACCCTGTGTGACAGAGTAAAACTGCCCCATAAGATTTTCTAGACTTTATGGGATCAGATCACCAGGTCTTTCTTCCATGTCGTTGCTGGGTGGGTTAGAATCACCAACCTTTTAGTTTGTAGCAGAGTACTTAACCAGCTAGGAGCTCTGGTAGCGTAGTGCCTAGGGCACTTGATTGATAACCAGAAGGCTGGCGGTTCAAACCCACCAGCCACTCCTTGGAAGGAAGGTTGGGCAATCTACTTCCATAGTGATACTGCCTCGGAAACCCAAGGAGGGGTTGCTATGAGTCGGGTCCGACTCCACGGCACAAAACAACAAGAACAACTTAACCAGTGTCCACCAAGCCTCCTTGTCTAGAGTATAAAGAGGAGAAAAATAAGATGTATTAGCTCAACACACCTTCATCACAAAGAAGCTGTGAACAGCTCCAAGGGGAAGAAAAAAGCCCCTGAAACCTCACCATGAGATGGCGGGGAGGGTGTTCACTGCCATAAAAGTGGCTGTTCTTAGATCCATGTTACCCACTATGGTCTCACCAGCCACATGTGGGTGTTGACATTTAAATTTATTACAATGAAATGGAATTTAAAATTTAGTTCAGTTGCACTACCCACAACGCAGAGGCTCAGTCAACCCATGGGGCTTATGGCCACTGTACTGGACAGTGCAGATTACAACACTTCCAGCGTGGTAGAAAGGTCCATTGAACGGCACTGCCTTAGACACTAAGCCAGTTGTCATGAAGTCAGTGCTGACTCGTGGCTCTATGGATACCAAGTGAAACTGAGTGCCATAAGATTTTCAGTGGCTGATGTTTTAGAAGCTGATAGCCAGCCTTTCTTCTGAGGTATCCCTGGGAGGACTCAAACCTCCAAACTTTTGTTTAGCAGCTGAATGTGTAAACCATTTGCACCACCAGGGCCTCTGCCTTAGAGATTCTAAAGCCATTGCTGTCTAGTTAATTCCAACTCATCTCAGGGAGACCCTATAGGACAGGGTAGAACTGTGCCATGGGGTTTCCAAGGCTATGATCTTTACAGAAGCAGATTGTCACATCTTTCTCCTGTGGAGTGGCTGGTGGGCTTGAACCACTGACCTTTTGGTTAGCAGCCAAGCATTTAACCTCTGCACCACCAGGGTTAGAGACTAGGCCTCAGAGCCTGTGTGGTGCAAATGATTACTGCTTAACTGCTAACATAAACGTTGGACGTTCGAACCCACCCAAGGGCACCATGGAAGAGAGCCCTGGGCATCTGCTTCTGTAAAGATCACAGCCAAGAAAACTCTATGGAACAGTTCTACTCTGTAACACATGGGGTTGCCATGAGATAGAATAGATTTGATGGTAACAGGTTCTAAAGAAATTAAGACACAGGAAGAGATGATGATAAACTCTATTATGTAGTATCTTATGTACCTAATATACTATGTGAGTCTGTGTTTTAATTCTTTTGCTCTATCCTTCTCTCTTCATGTTGGAGCCACTCTGTTTACATTACTGTTCTGGTTACCTAGTGCCACTCTGACAAGAATATACCACAAATAGGATGGCTTAAACAAACAGGAGTTTATTCTTACAATCTGGAGGCTTTAAGTCCAAGTTCAAGGTGCCAAGCTCTAGGGGCTGGGTGAAAGCCCCTCAACCTTGGGGTCCAGCTCTGCCTCCTGCTCCTGGCCCACTGAAGCTACAGGCTTTTCTTCACTCAGACAGCTGCTGGCTGCTGAGACTGACAAGCCCAAGGTTAACAAGTAACAAGGCACAGTCCCGATGTTACCAAACCATATGGCAGGCCATTAATTCAAGTCCATTGTAAGTCCTAAGGTGGGCAGAGCATGGCAGGCTGCTGAACAATGACACGGCTACATGCAGGGTTCAAGGTGCCATAAGCTAGAGACCATTCCCAAGGCTTCTCTTTATATACAGGAAGCAGACCACATCCCAAAGGTAGCTACTCAGCTGTTTGTGGGTAGATCCCACCATGGAGTTGATTGCCGGTATCATCATGGGGAATATCTACCACCAGCTGCCCAGCCACTCAACCAGGCCCAGCCAAGCTGACACACAAACATAACTACAACAATTACCATTGCTTTAAAATGTGTTCTAATCTTTGGAAGGCACTACAGCCCTTGTGTCTCTCCTTCCCAATTATTTCCCAGTCTTCTAATTTGATTTTCCAAATGAGTCTGATGATTATTTTGTTGTGTTTCAAAGGAAAAAAGAAAAACAGTCTTTTTTAAGGTTAAAAAAAAAGAGAGAAAAAGATAGAGGAGAAGAATAACTCCAGGAGGAATTTGATTTTGCAACACAAATACAAGGCAGTGAAAAGAACAGCATGGCTTCCAGGTCGCAGGGGGGCCGGAGAATGATCTCCAAGCTTCCCCCAGGCACGACCAGCTGGAGCTCTTGAGCGTCATTCCAAAATGGCTGCCTGGGTGAATCCCTGTGATCAGCTGACCTCTTTGCTTTTTTTTCTTTGCTATTTTTCCTGAGACCAGCCACTTCCCCCCATGGCCCAGGAGTCACAACATCATTGTCAGTAGCTTAGTTCTGGGGGACTTTCCCTGTAAACTCAAGTATGCTGGCTGCCTTGGAGAGGGATCTTTCAAGTAATAAGTCATTAGGCAGCCACAGCAGGAGACAGGTCCCCATGGTACTTCCTTTTAGAGACTCCGGGTCTCTTGGGCAACCAGCAGCTCCTGTGTCTCCAGAGCCCAGAAAGCTGTTCCTGGAGGTCCCCCCTTGTTCACTCTTCCTGTTTCTCATGCCTGGATACCGTAGATGGAAGCGTAATCAAGTACTGCTGTGTGGCTGGCTGGTTACCCCTTGTCCAACTTCCCCTCTTCTCCTCTGGAGACTCTTCCAGTGGAAAGGCCCCTGGAGAGCAGCGGCCTCTTCAACGCTCCCATCCTGGCAGATTACATTCATCCAGATTTTGCAGGTGTTCGCCCCTGGGATGTTCTGGAACAACCCAAAGAAAGGCAGGAGGGGTGATAACTTCCTTCTTATAATGAACAAAGTCAACACTTCAGTTTTGGTCTAACGTCCTGGGCCTCCTCTGGCTTTACTCTCTTGTGTCCCCCGTTGGACACTCTCTGAGTGTGTAGGGGCAGAAATAGGGCCTTCTTATGGCCCTTGGTGACATAAATGGTTTGCCCTCCACTACTAACCTAATGGGTGAGAGTTTGAACTTGGTCAGGGGTACAATGGAAGAAAGGTCTGGCTGTCTGCTTCTGTAAAGATCACAGCCAAGAAAACCCTATGGGGCTGTTACATTCTGTAACACATGGGGTCACTGTGAGTTGAAATCGATTCAATGGTAACAGCTTTTTTTTTTTTTTTTTTGGTAATGCTCTTAGCATTAAGACTAAAACCTTAGGGCCTTACAAAGTCTATAAAATCTTGCCCGTGGAAGTAGTCTTGTCCCCCTTCACTGCCCCCTCCTTGTTGGTGCTTCAGTCCCCGCTGTCATTTTTGAACTGGCCATGCTCTCTCCTACCCCAGGGCCTTTGCATGCACTGTTCCCCCTACCCAAGGCTCTCTGCCCAGTAAACCCCTTCTCAGGTCTTATTCCATGGTTCAGTCCTCATTTACTCAGAGGAGTACCCCTAATTCCCCCACCCCAAGTCTGCCCCACATAATTTATACTATGACAGTTATAGTCTTGCATTTGTACAATTCTCTAATTGATGTCTGACTCTCCCATTAGACTCCAGGGCCAGGGAGGTGAGGACCTGGACTGTCTCGGTCGTGGCTATCTCTTGAGCAGCTTGGTCTGGTATCTTTGGTGCAGGGCAGGGGCCCTTATTCAGCTGATCACAGGGAGTTCCCCAACTCGAAAGATCTGTGATGCTTGGTGCCCAGTGGAATTTAAAACTTACTTGTCTGGTGTCATATCTCCCAGGTACCTCTACACACAGGTGCGTTGCTAAGTCTCTGATGGCACTTCTTAATGTAATTGTTGCCGCAGCTCCAGGGTGTGGCTCTTTGCTAGGCGTCTTTGTTGTTGTTAGCTGTCGACTCATAGTGACCCCACACACAGGGAACAAAATGGCGTCTGGTCCCGCACCATCCCTACAGTTGGTTGTGGATTGGACCACTGTGATCCGTGAGGTTTTCACTGGCTGATTTTTGCAAGTCAATTGACAAGCCTTTCTTCCTAGTCCATCCTAGTCTGGAAGCTCTGCTGACATCTGGTCAACATCCTAATGCCATGTAGGCTTCCATTGACAGACAGGTGGTGGCCGCACATAAGGAACGCTGATGGAAACTGACCCTGACTCTCCCACGTGGAAGTCAGGGATCCTACAACTGAACCACTCTCAGATGTGTTTAGGCGGAAAAGGTGGAGGGAGGTTCACAGGCTGAATATCCAAGCCAAGACTTATACCTGTGTCCCTCTCTCCCAGGCCCTTGTAGGTGACCAGTACGGGCCCTGCCCAGTTCCTCCACTGATCGAGGAGAAGGAGTGGGAGGCACTGAGGGCCCAGCTGACAACCAGGCCACGTGAGCTGGAGCTGGTGGCACGCCGCTTCCGGAAGGACGAGAACGCTATTCCTCCTGCCTACGTGCTGCAGGGCACGGGCGCTGGGGAGACTCGCGGGCCCGAGGAGATCACCCTGACCTCTGCCCTTCGTGCTGGGGCCCAGGAAGCCTGGAGGCTGGGGCTCATTACCCAGAAGCAGTGGCATCGCTACCACTGGTCAGGTGAGGCCACAGGGAACCACTACTCAGGTGAGGCCAGGTAAGGTGAGGACAGGTTAGGCCAGGTTAGGCCAGGTGAGGGCAAGGGAACCTACTGGTCAGGTGAGGACAGGTAAAGCCAGGTAAGGGCTAGGGGACCCACTGGTTAGGTGATGACAGATGAAGCCAGGTGAGGGCAAGGGGATCCACTGGTCAGTTGAGAACATGTGAGGCCGCAGGGATCCTCCCAGGAGTCATTGTGAAATAGACCATATATTCAAAATATACATCCAGTGCTATCAAAATATCCCAGTCAGCATTTCGGGAAACCCCAAGCCACCCTACTTCCTGATCCTGCGGTTCTGAAAACATTATTTTACTCACCCAGGACAGCTGAGCCACATCCAGGCAGAAACTTGGTCTCTTGGACCCCCTTCTCCTCCCCTGATGGTTCCTTATTCCTTTCCCCAGGGAGACTTGTGGCATTGGGGCATGCTCTGGGGTGACCAGCCGACTGGGCTGCCTGGGAGGAAGAGTGGCCAGAATGTGGGGTTTTCAGTGATAAAACTGGGAAATTTCCCAGGCAAACCCTGCATTTGGCCCAACAGCCAGTGTCCTCAACTGGCTTAACCTATCCTCACTTGGTCTGTGGTCCTTGTGGCCTAGCCTGTCTTCACCTGAGCAGTGGTTCCTTTTGGCCTCACCTGCAAAGTCCTCCCCTCTGGCCACCTTTGTGTGTGAGGTGTCTAGTCATACTGCACCTGTCACTGAGGGAGAAACTGAGGCACAGAAAAGGGGCACTTGCCCACAGAGCAGAGTAGGGACTCGCACCTGTGGCTGACTCTGTGGCCCCTCCTCTTAGCTCCACCTCCCCCAGAGGAGCTCCCAACCCCATGGGGTCCTCTACCTAGAAACCTCTCTGTCCCCTCATCTCCCCTGCTGGGGCCAGTCCCTTATCTCTCACCTCGAGCCTCACACTTCACCCCTACTTTCTGCCACATGGGCTGCCAGAAAGGTCTTTTTAAAAGAGCAGTCCGACCAACTGTTTCCACCCTCCTGCTGCCAGAAGAGAAATAGGAATTTGCTATTGTTTATGGGTTATTAATGTCAATTTATGGATGATTAACTTGTTGATGCATAAACTCACTGTCATCGAGCCAGATCTGACTCATAGCAACCCCTCCTTGGGTTTCTGAGGCAATATCACTACAGAAGTAGATTGCCCAACTTTCCTTCCAAGGAGTGGCTGGTGGGTTTGAACCACCTGCCTTCTGGTTAGCAGTCAAATGCCTTAGGCACTATGCCACCAGAGCTCCCCGTTGATGCATATCACCAAAACATTAACTGTATTTCTTTATATTTTAGACGTAATAAATATATAAAATACATACTAAACCAGTTGCCATCTAGTCAATTCTGACTCCTGGTGGCCGGTATGTGTCAGAGCAGAACTGTGCTCTGGATGATTTTCAAGAACTCAACAGCAGTGGGTTTGTTTTTTTGTTGGATATTTAAGTAGGTTGCCAGGCCTTTCTTCTGTGGTACCTCTGGGTGGCTTTCAACCTCCAACACTTTGGCTGAGTGTGTTAACCATTTGCATCACCCGGGACTCTGAATTTATTTGTTGTTGTTAGGTGCCGTCAAGTTGGTTCTGACTCATGGTGACATGATGTACAACAGAATGAAGCATTGCCCGGTTCAGCCCCATCCTCACAATCGTTGCTATTGCAGTCCATTGTTGCAGCCACTGTGTCACTCCATCTCATTGAGGGTCTTCCTCTTTTTTGCTGACCCTCTACTTTACCAACCACGATGTCCTTCTCCAGGGACTGGTCCCTCTTGGTAACATGTCCTAAGCATGTGAGGCAAGGTCTCTCTCTCCTCCCTTCTAAGGAGCCTTCTGGCTGTACTTCCAAGGCAAATTTGTTTGTGCACCTAACAGTCCATGGCATATTCAATATTCTTCACCGACACTGCAATTCAAAGACATCAACTCTTCTTTGATCTTCCTTATTCATTGTCCAGCTTTTGCATGCATATGAAGTGATTGAAAATACCATGGCTTGGATCAGACATACCTTACTCTTCAAAGTGACGTCTTTGCTTTTTAACACTTTAAAGAGATATTTTACAACAGATTTACCCAATACAATACATCATTTGATTTCTTTCTCTTGTTTTCATTTTTTTATTGTGCTTTAGGTGCAGGTTGACAGAGCAGAGTTTGTTTTACAGTCAGTATTTCATGTACATTTGGCTCCACTCCCCAGTTACCATCCCCACCCCTACCCCAGTCTCCTCCCCTGTCATTTGATTTCTTGACTGGAGCTTCCATGGGCACTGATTATGGACCTGAGGAAAATGAAATCCTTGACAACTTCAATATATTCTCTATTCGTCACAGTGTTCCTTAATGGTCCAATTGTGAGGATTTTTGTTTTCTTTATGTAGAAGTATAATCCATACTGAAAGCTGTAGCCTTTGATCTTCATCAGTAAGTGCTTCAAGTCATCTTCACTTTCAGCAAGCAAGGTTGCAGCATCTGCATATCACAGTTGTTAATGACTCTTCCTCCAATCCTGATGCTGTGTTCCTCTTCATATAGTCCAGCTTCTTGTATTATTTGCATAGCACACGGATTGAATAAGTATGGTGAAAGGATACAACCCTGACACACACCCTTCCTGATTTTAAACCACGCAGTATCCCTTTGTTGTGTTTCAATGATTGCCTCTTGGTCTTTGCACAAGTTGCTCATGAGCACAATTAAGTGTTCTGGAATTCCCATTCTCCACAGTGTTACCTATAATTTGTTATGACTCATACAGTCGAATGCCTTTGCATAGTCAATAAAATACAGGTAAATATCTTTCTGAATTCATATTACCATCATATTCAACATATTGATTTATTTATTTAAATGGATGTGGTGATAAGTAGAAATCATTTCTATGTATATAATGCATATTAATTAATTGATATCAATTAATACAAAGCAACACATTCATTATATTTAAATAATTTTGTTAATATTACAAATGTAATGTTACATTATATAAAACCAAAACCAAACTCACTGCCTTTGAGTCAGTTCCAACTCATAATGACCCCCTTTGGGTTTCCAAGGCAGTAAATCTTTATGGAAGTAGATTGCCCAACCTTCTTTCCATGGAGTGGCTGGTGGGTTTGAACCGCCAACCTTCTGGTTAGCAGTCAAATGCCTTAGGCACTATGCCACCAGAGCTCCTTTACACACATATATATCAGGTATTTTGTAGAGCATCCCCCAACCTGGGATTGTCTGATGTTTGCTTGTGATTTGACTGGGGCTGTAGGTTTTGGGGAAGTAGACCCCAGAGGGGAGGTGCCCTCCTCCTATATCATGCCAGGGGTGTCTGATGGCCACATGACCTCCCCTTGTGTCATCGGGCAAGGGACCAATGATGTATTAACTTAGAATATACTGTTTATGTGAATAACAATAATGTTAATGGCTACTGTTTATTGAGCACCTACTATGTACACTTTTCCTTGTTACCCTCCCGAGAAGGACCGGGTCTCCGAGAGCAAGGTAAGCACGGGCGTAGCACAGAGTAGCAGGCCAGAAGAGCAGGAGAAAGGGGATAAAACTCAGGAAGCCAAAGAGAAGAGCAATCAGCCGAAGGG